CAGACGGACGTCGCACATCCGGCAGAACGTGTACCAGCTCGTCGCGTTTCCGCTCGAGCACTGAGCCCACGGAGGGCGAGGGCACATGCTCGGGTCGATCGCCCCCGCGCCCGCTCCCTGGAGCACCAGCGGGAGAGTGCCCGCCACCAGCTTCATATCGTCGCAGACCTTGATGCACCCCAGGATCCTGAGCCCGAGCGACCTCCACCGTGCCGCCGGCGGGTCGAACTTGAGCTCCCCGGCGTTCAGCATCTCGATCTCCCCCTCGGAGAGCGCCTCGGCCGCCAGCACGTCGTTCAGAGACACGTCCGATAGCTTCTCCCAGCTCTCCCCTGCCATCGGAGCCGGAACGTTCGGCGAGCTCGACGAGCGCCGACCTGGACTCGCCGACTGCGATCGGCCATTCTGCACCGTCCTGCGCGGCTTGACCTTCGTCGAAGACATCCCGGCACTTGACTCTCGGCGCTAGGGTCGAGGGAACGGAAAGAGAAGCTTGAGCCGAGAGAACTTCGGACCCGGGGGTGTTCGGCCCGCTGTTTACCCCAACCCCTATTCTGGGAGCCTCTCGAGCCCCGCACGTCGGCCCCCTGGAGTCAGTAGAGGAGGGGGAGGAGAAATCTGAACTGAAAACGTGTCCTAGCTTATCTCCTACATGCGTTCTCTCACTGCCCGATCCCGTCCCGTCCTGGATGCGAACGTCGCGGCACTCCGCTGGAAGCCGCGCCAGGACCTCCGCGTCGACGCTGAACTCCGAGGCGTCGCACCAGATCAGGCTGACGGACCTGTGGCCGGAAGGGTGACGCAAAAGCGGCCTCGTCACTCTCTGTCCGCCGACGCCGTTCACCGCCATCGTGTTGAGGCGGAGGTCCACGACGCCCCCGATGGCCTCCAGAAGCCTCGCGGGTAACAGAGGCGGACAGCGATTCTCGAGAATCAAGAACTCGACGAAGCCACATCCTGCCAGCGATACCGGGACCCATGCCTTTCCGATGGGTTTGGCCTGGCCTCCGATGCCAGACGCTGTCATCCCGGGGATCTCGCAGAGGTGAACATGAATACGAAATCCCTTCTCCGCGAACGCCTCCGTCATGATGCGAAGGTCCTCCTTGCCAACTAGAGCCTGACCTGCAGCGGTATCGACGAGCGCACTGTCCAACATGTTGCGCAAGGTCGGGATCTGCTGCATGCTCTTAATCGTCTCGAAGAGGCCTGTCCAGTCGAGCACCGTCCACGGCGTCACGACGCTGCTCTCAAGGTCGAAAGTCACGAGATTCACGAAGCCGTCGCCGTCGACATTCTCGAAGAAGTAAGACTTGATGCCGGCCGTGTCCTTGCCGCGCCGCTCCTCGGCCAGGCGCTGCTCCTTCGTGCGGTGTGGCCTCTTGCAGGTCTCGGCCCAGTGCCCACGGTCGCCGCAGTTGGCACATCGAGACCTTTTTCGAAAATCAGCTCCTGTTATCCGCTTGAATCCTGGCCGCGTCGATCGGCGTCTGTCAAAGAAATCGCGGTCGATTTTCTTGTTGGCTTTCATACGCCTGGCCTCTTGCCACGTCCTTTTTCTGTCTTTGCCTAACTTGTCCTCGATGACGGCTGCCAACACCATCATCAACTCAGACTCCTCTAGGTCCTGGCCTTCCAGAGCCATGAGAAATGTGTCGGCATCCTCTTCTGGCAATTCGAACGAATCGTCAGGCCCCTCAAAGTACGAGCCCACGTCCACGTACGGCTGAGGAGGAGGAGGTGGCTGCTCAGCTGGATCTATCTCCACGTTGTAGGTCTTGCTCGCACTGCCGCTCGCGCCTGCCGACGCTGAGGCACCTGGTAGCATCGACTTGTCCCTGACGTCTAGCAGTAGCAGTCCCTGTCGGATGGATGCCGCGTCGCTCTTTCCGCCAGCAAGTGTCTTGAGCATCATCCTGTTCTGAGGTGTGAGCTGGGCGCCCTCCTCCAGGTACCTGGCCTTCACCGAGTCCGGCAGAGCGAGCCCGAACTTCTCAGCCTCTGCCGTCTCCGCGTCCCTCCTGAGCACGAAGTCCGTGAGACTCTCGCTACGCCTGATGCCGTGATTGAACAACGCTGCGTTGTGGGCCTCCCGCTCGCGGTCGCCCGGCCTCTCGCCGTTGAGCACTGAAAGGTGTTCTGTCAGTCTGTCCAGTCCGTCTTCACCGTCCAAGGTCGAACGAATGGCCAAGAATCTCTGCTGGATCTCTATGGGCAGATTCTCAAGAACCTTTCCTGCTCTCTGCGACTCGGGGTATCCCGTTCTGGAAGCCCACGACTGTAGGTTTAATTTATATATCTTCAGGTTCTCGAATCCTAACCAGACCGGGGGCGCTCCGTAATCACGTGACTGTGATGTCCACGAGCCTCTCCACGACCACGAGTCTCCTCGCCATCCGTCGTCGTCGTCCTTCGACGCCTGGCGCCACTTCTGCCACGAGTCGCTCTCGTCGGCGTCGTCCTGCCACCAGCGAGCCGACCAGCCCCAGCTGTCCTGCTCGCCTCGTCGGTGATATCTCGGGCGCTGGCCCCAGTCACCGGTCTCGCCGTCTGCGCCACTGTCGGTCTGGCACTCGGCGTTCATGTGCGTGCTCCTCGCGCGCTCGCCCTCCCCTATCACTGCGTACGTCTCACGATCTCCGTCCGGACCCGAAGCCACGCTCCGCTTACCATTGTCATCCCCATCGCCGGGCATGGCGCACGGAAGGACTAGGGTGGAGACAGGATGTTTTCCATAGCAGCGCGGAGAGAGGGGACGCAGGTGCACTAAGCCTAAAAGGCTCGCGACGGTGAAGCCCGAAGCGGAGGGGAGCGGGAGAGGGGAGCGACCCGAGAGACCCACGAGGGGGACCCAAATTAGAGATGGGGGACACATTGCCCTGCTCGACATCCGACCGTGCGAATAGAGAGGAGATTTACGCGATGGTAAGGGATGGGAGGTAGGAGTAGGACGTCAGAGATGTGGCGAGCGCACCTAGCTTGTCCCTCCTCCCCCTCCCCTCCTCCCAAATCCCTCCTCGCTCCTCCTTCTTCCTCCCCAACATGGCAACGCCTGGGGGGCGCGAAGAGCAACATTCCATCCACTCTACTTGTCACGTGGCAGCGCCAAGGGAGCAGGAAAACGGAAAACAAAAACACAAAAACCGACTCCCCTCTATTCGTCACGTGGCAACGTTGCGGGGGCGGACAACAAATACTATGTCACTCCACTCGCCGCATGGCAACGCCTAGAGGCGCAAAGAGAAGTATTCCGTTCTGATCGTCACGTGGCAGCGCCGCAGCGGGCCGAAACGAGCACTATGCCACGACGACGGCGAGGACGACAACGATAACGACGACGACGACGATGACGACGAAGATGACGAGAGCAAGGAAGGCGAACAACCATTATATATTGTCCTTCTCGTTCTTCTTCCTCCCCCCACCCTTCGCCCTCCTCCATCCTCCCTCCTTCCCCTCGCCTTCCCCTCCCCTCCTCCCCTCCTCCCCCCCTCCCCCCTCACTCCTCCTCACTCCTCTCCTCCTCCTCCTCCTCCTCCTCCTCCTCCCTCCTCCTCCTCCTCCTCCTCCTCCTCCTCCTCTCCTCCTCCTCCTCCTCCTCCTCCTCCTCCTCCTCCTCCTCCTCCTCCTCCTCCTCCTCCTCCTCCTCCCCTCCCCCTCCCCCTCACCCTCCCCCCCTCCTCCTCCTCATCCTCCTCCTCCTCCTCCTCCTCCTCCCCTCCTCCTCCTCCTCCTCCGCCTCCTCCTCCTCCTCCTCCCTCCTCCTCCTCCTCCTCCTCCTCCTCCTCCTCCTCCTCCTCCTCCTCCTCCTCCTCCTCCTCCTCCTCCTCCTCCTCCCTCCTCCTCCTCCTCCTCCTCCTCCTCCTCCTCCTCCTCCTCCTCCTCCTCCTCCTCCCCCCCCCCCCCTCCTCCTCCTCCTCCTCCTCCTCCTCCTCCTCCTCCTCCTCCTCCTCCTCCTCCTCCTCCGCCTCCTCCTCCTCCTCCTCCTCCTCCCTCCTCCTCCTCCTCCTCCTCCTCCTCCTCCTCCTCCTCCTCCTCCTCCTCCTCCTCCTCCTCCTCCTCCTCCTCCTCTCCTCCTCCTCCTCCTCCTCCTCCTCCTCCTCCTCCTCCTCCTCCCTCTCTTCCTCTTCCTCCTCCTCCTCCCTCTCTTCCTCTTCCTCCTCCTCCTCTTCCTCCTCCTCCTCCTCCCGCCTCCTCCCGTCCTCTCGATATTCCTCTCTTCTTGTCCGTCCTGTCCTTCTCCCCCTCGCCAGCAACTTACTGCAATGCAGTGCACTGCAGATGCAATGCAAGTTCAACGCAGTGCAATGCGATGCAACGCAACATAATGCAATGCAATGCAATGCAATGCAACGCAATGCCATGCCATGCAACACAATGCAACGCAATGCAACGCAATGCAACGCAATGAACTCCAACGCGTCACGTGGCAGCGCCGTGGGGGCTAGACAAAAACACGATGCCACGACGACGACGACGACGACGACGACGACGATGACGAGGTCCAGGGAGGCGAACAAAAACACTATTCTATCCCCCTCCTCGTCCATCATCCTACCTCCTCCTCGTTCATCCTCCTCCTCCATCCTCTCTCCTCCTTCCCCCTTCCTCCCGCCTCCCCCTCCCCTCTTCCCCCCTTCCTCCCTCCTTACTGCAATGCAGTATACTACTCCTCCTCCCTCCTCCCCTCCCCTCCCCACCCTCCTCCCTCCTCCCCCCGCTCCCTTCTCTTCTCCCCCCTCCGCAATGTTCTGAAATGCAGTGTGCTACAAATGCAATGCAAATGCGTCACAGCGCAATGCAATGCAACGAAGCAGGATACAATGCAAGAGTCGGGGTGCTTCTTCACCCCTGAGAATCGGACCCTCCCCTTTAGCAAAACACGCTGTGGTCAAGACGACCTAGGGTACCAGGCCCTGTGAGCGCAGACACGCGAAAATGACGGCCGCGACGATTCGCGAATCGGCTCGGCCGAGCGGGGGTCTCATCAGCCCCTGGTCCTTGGAGGCCAAGAACTGGCCCTTGATTCGCTCCCCAAACGTCTGCGTGTTGTGGTGCCACAGGATGTCGTTGACCTGCGCGACCACCCCCCCCAGGGCGTGTCGCGGGGAGAGGGGGGAGAGAGGACGAGAGTGGACGATGACGAGAGTGCAGAGCGGACGAAGAGAAGGCTGTCGCGTGATTGAGTGCGCATTGGTATGTTTACGCAGGGGGGAAACGATGAAGAGGATGAGGAAGAGGCATCCGCGCGCGGGAGTGGACGCGCGACGTCGGCGGCGCCTGGGGGACCGGAGAGGTGGCAGAAATCGGGAAGCGTCACCCCAGAACGCGCCGAGCACAGCACCGCCAGCCTGGTGGAATTGCGCGCACTTCCGGCCAGTTCGGCCAGCTCCTACCTGAACCTGTCTCGGATTCCAAAGAAACTCTACGAGTGCCCTGGCCTTCTGGGCACTGCCGCTGCAAGATTGCCCAGCACCACAGCAGCAGGACGAGCCAACTTCATGATGGCGCTCAGCCAGGCTATTACATAAATTGAACAGTAGACACGTAGTGGCGCTTACACGAGTTCGCGGACACGCAGTGTGCTGTATACATGTACGTGCAGCTCCACTGCGTCTGTGAAGTATGTGGCGAGTCATGACCAACTTGCGTGGGGCCTTCATGATCTGATCGCCGACCAGCACGGCCTGGTCAGGGTGCTCCCTGTTCCAGGCCTCCAACATGCCCGTCTTGCGGATCTTCAGCACCTCGGCCGCAGGTTGCGTCGGATCCCCCCAGCTGCCTCATGTCGCTTTCGGCGGCGAGCACAGGTTATCAGAGCGCACCCTGTCCGTGGACTCGAGACAACAACAATCAAAGAAATTACGGCCGAGACCGCAATGGTCCCAACACCCGAGCTGTCTAGGCCTGGCTATGGAGGAGAGCAGGCTTTGTTGAGCTCGGCGCAGAGGCCGGCTGGAAATCCGTGTCGATGTCCAGACTCAGGCCTGCCGAGAAGGGAACGTCCGGGAGGAACCGGCTCAGGGGGAAAACATCAAGCTGGAATCGGCGACACATCGCCGATAGATGTTCGATAGGTCCCCGATAGCGAATCCGCACGTTCCTGGGCGGGGCGGGCTATCGGGCCCTTTTTCGGCGATGAATGGGCGATTGGGGGTCGATGCGTTCCCCCCTGAGCCTATCCCCCACTAACGTTGCCCCTGACCTAAGGTCGCCCCCTTCTTCTGGGCATCGGTCATGTCCAGATCGATGGTGAACTCCTGCCAGAGGGGGGCCGAGGACGGCGCGGCGTCACGGCGCAAAGTCCCGTTCGAACAGCGCGGCACAGCGCAGCAGCCGAAAGACAAACGACAAACGAGACGAAGGCAAGATGATGAACAACAAAGCTGTGCCACCTACGTAACTTCGCGCATCGCGCCCCGCGCAGGGACCGACTGCCCCAGCAATCCTATAAGCCTACCACGACATGTTCTTAGAACCTGAAACGGTTCGAATAACAAAACATGTTCTTATAACACAAACTGGACGTCTGAAAACAAGACAGCTTCAGCCAGAAATGTTCTACATACATTTCGTGCAGACCACAAACGGTCCTTAGAACATTATTTGATGGGCCTATAGGCAAGCCAAGTCGCTTCACCACAACTCGACCAACGATACGCGACGCGCGGCTATCTTCGCGCCCTCGCGCCCTCGCACCGGCACCCTGAAGAAGTGCAGCCGCGCCGGCCCAGTCCCGCGACGCGTGGAGCGCGCCCCAACGGGTGACCCTGCACAATTGGGATGAGGGCTAAGATCGGCAATATTCGGAGACCCGGCTGGTCTGAGGGATGCGGCAAGCGCCGAGGCTGTCACAGAGCGCTCCGGGACGCTCCGAGGGCGCTCTGGGGCGCTCTGGAGCGACGTATCCTTAGATGGGGCCTGCCTGACCAGAGGCGTCCTTGGTCCTTGGCATGATGCAGTCGAGACCAGACTGCAAGCGGAAAAGAGCCTTTCTATTCTGCGGTTCCTCTGGGCACACCGCCAGCAAAACCACCTCCCCTGTGCCCTGTGAGGAAACATACTTGGATTATCGTCTGGCGGGGCGGCGGAAGCGGGTACACAGACCGCGCCATCAAGGCATTGAAGCACCCACTCGCCGAGAGGGTGCCTGCAAGCACGCATCGTGAAGCAACGTTCGCCTACACGTAAGAGTGACCCTAGGCAACAGTGGCCTGTGGTGCGCGGCTTTAGGAGGCCGCGGGGACGCCAAATCCAAGCAAGCAGGCCAGTGCTGGGGACCCGTGTGAGCCCGCACCGAAGGTCACTCTGGCGAATGGTCATTGTTACGCGTAGCGGAAGCGTCTACACTTCACCATGAGGCCACTGGGCCCCCGGGAGACCTTCGCACATCTACGTGGCAAATTTCGGAGAAGCAACAGGCACGTGCCGGCGCTGACCTCTGCGGGGTGTGGATTGATCCGTATCGACCGCCTGGTGGATCTATCTTCTAGGACCTCGAGAGGCGGTGGACATGGATATAGTTGGGCACCGCTGTGGGCTATAGGTATAGACATGCATACATACGTACGTACGTACGTACGTACGTACATACATACATACATACATACATACATATACATATACATATACATATACATATACATATACATATACATATACATATACATATACATATACATATACATATACGTATACATATACATATACATATACATATACATATACATATACATATACATATACATATACATATACATATACATACATACATACATACATACATACATACATATCTACACATACCATCCACGCACACACATGCATGCATATATACATACATACACACATACATACGTACAAACATACAGACAGACAGACAGACAGACAGACAGACAGACAGACAGACAGACAGACAGACAGACAGGACAGACAGGCAGGCAGGCAGACAGACAGGCAGGCAGGCAGACTTACATACATACCTATAAATATGTATGTTTACATAGACATGTGTGTATTTACATTATGTGTGTGCGTGTTTCCCCAACTCTCCGTTGGGTTTTTGTTTGGAATTTAGCATCGCGGTCTCCAGCCTTCTCTCCTCCCACCTCCTCCTCCCTCATCCCGCCTCTCCTCTCTCCTCCCCTCCCGCCTCCTTCCTCGCCATCCCTGGGGGGCTGCGATCTGGCTGTCGCCTGTCGAGGGCTGCTGGGGGGTCCAGCGCAGCGCGGGCCGCCAGAGATTCAGATTTGACCTCGCCATTCCTGGGGCACTGCGATCTGCGAAACCGTCGCCACTGTCTGGGGCTGCTGCGGGGCGTCCAGCGAAGTGCGTGCCAGTGCGTGCCTACAGGGATTCATATTTGACCTCGACATCCGAGGGGGGCTGCGATTTGCGAAACTGTCGCCACTTTCGACGGCTGCTGAGAGGGTCCAGCACAGCGCGGGCATGGGGGGATTCAGATTAGATCTCGCCGTCCCTTGGGGGCTGCGGTTTGCGAAAGTGTCAACATGTTCGAAGACTGCTGGGGGTCCAGCACGGTCTGGGCATCCAGGGATTCAGACTAGACCTCGCCATTCCAGGGGGGGCTGCGATCTGCAAAACTGTCGCCACGTTCGAGGGCTGCGGGGGGGGGGGCAGCGCCATAACGTCACGTCACACCAGACCCCGACTAGACCTCGCAATCCCGGGGGGGGGGGGGGCTGCGACCTGCGAACCTGCCAACACTATACTATCGACGGCTGCACTGCTGGGGGGGGGGCGCCAGCGTGAGCCTCCACCAGACCGTTGGTGCTTCAATCGGAGTCCTGCGGGTCGTGCGGCGCGCGCGCCCCCCACGTAGCTTTCACGAAATATGGCGGTCATTGCCACGTTACGTTTCCCAGGGGGTATGGTCAGAAAGTGCTCGCCGCGGAGCTTATACTGTAAGATTTCTCGGCGTGCACGTCAACCCTGGGGGGGGGCGGGGGGCGACGCACACATAGTATTAGTATGTTGGGGTGGCGCCGATGTCTGGCTACGGCAGGTTCGCGTCGTGCCCACACAACAAGGATCGTAAAGCCTTGAACGATCTGCCGTTTCCGACACGTCACATCGTTGAACATCGACCGACTCTGGGTCGCCAACGGCGTTCAACGTTGAACGCTGGCGGCGGGGTCGCCGCCAATCGGCACAACTTGAACCTACAGTGAGCTTTGTCCCCAGGCGGCGCTGGCAATTGTAGAAGAACAAAACGCGGCATTTACATAAACCTTCGGAGCTCCGCGCGGATCTCTTGGGTCTGCGCTGGGCCCTCCTCCCTGGAGCGCGGGGCGCCGCCAGGGGGACTCAGCGCCGATCCAAGAGATCCAGGCGGAGCTCCGAAAGTGTATGCTTACGTCGGTTTTCTTCTTCGGAGTAAGTTTCTTGTTCGGCTTTTGAACAAGTGGGCGGGTCTGCCGCACGTTGCCGCCCTTGGGCGCTTCGTGGGCGCACCATGCCCTGGCTGGGTCTGGCGAGATTTCGCTACGCTGCCGCCCTTTGCCGACCGTGGGCGCTTTGTGGGCGCACCATGTCTTGGATGGGTCTGTCGGAGGGTTCTCCACGTTGCCACTCGTGGCCGTCTGTGGGCGCACCGTGGGCGCCCCGTGCGTGGCCACATAGCTTTCACCACAAAGCTTACACCACAAAGCGTGCACCACATACTTCCTTTCCCATTGAAAGATAAGATTAAAACCACCCGCCGGCGCCGTTTTTATCCCCCTCCCCTCATTGTCTCTCCATTCCCCAAACACTGCTTGCACTCAGGGGTTACCACTTGCCTTCCTGAAGTGATTGCACGGGTCCGCCGAGAATGTTCAGCGCTGCCGCCCCGTGCCGCCTTGTGGGCGCCTTGTGGGCACCCCGTGCCCGGGGTGGGTGCGCCGAAGTTGCGCCGCGTTGCCACCCGTGCCGCCTCGTAGGCGCTCGTGGGCGCCCCGTGCGCTGGACGAGTCCGCCCGAGGTTGCGCAGCGTTGCAGCCCGTGCAGCCTCGTGGGCGCTCGCAGGCGCCGTGCGCCGGGTGGGTCCCCCGAGGCTGCGCCGCATTGCCACCCGTGCCGTCTCGTGGGCGCCCCGTGCGCTGGGCTTTCCCCACATAGCTTACACAGTACAACTTACACGACTTAGCGTGTATCACTTAGCTTACGCCGCACAGATATTACACGGCGTAGCTTACACCGCATACACTTCACCGAGTAGTTTCCACCTCCATAGCTCTGCCTACATAGCTACGTACATGGCCTGTTTTGGTATACTTACAAGGACGTCTCAAGCAAAACGCCGCTCGTGTTTTAATTGTTCGGAGCCCACTTCTCTTGTTTGGAACCGCTGTGGAGTCAAGAAAGCTATTTTGGCGAGGACGCCCCACGCGGTTTGGTATTTTGGAACCGCCATCCCACTGTGCGGAACCAAGTTCCGATCGTATTTTGAAGGAAATCCCAAGCGAAATGCTCGTTTCCGAAAAGTTTGGAACCAAATTCTATTGTTTCGGACCGAGTTCGAACCGTCAAGACAGCAATTTGTGTGAGGATGTCCCAAGCGGTTTGCCGTTTTCGAACCGCCATCCTTTTGTTTCGAACCGGGTCGGACGCCGTATTGTGAGGGAAGTCCCACGCGAAACGTTCATTTTGCTTTTGTTTCGAACTGGATTCTGCTGTTTGGAACCGAGTTCGAACCGTCAAGACAACAATTTCTGTGAGGATGTCCCACGCGGTTTGCCGTTTTCGAACCGCCATCCTTTTGTTTCGAACCGGGTTGGAATCCGTATTGTGAAGGAAATCCCACGCGAAACGTTCATCTTGCTTTTGTTTCGAACTGGATTCTACTGCTTCGAACCGAGTTCGAACCATCAAGACAACCATTTCTGTGAGAATGTTCCCCGCGGTTTGCCGTTTTCGAGCCGCCATCCCGTTTGGCGCAATAACATTTTCTCCACATAGGCTTGCCCTATAGGAGTCCTAGCTCATCATACTAATTGGTCCGTTGCCCCACCCTAATTCCTATGCCCCCCCTAATTATCCAAATAGGCTTGCCCTATAGGAGTTCTAATGAATTCTCTACTCATTGGTATGTTGCCCCCCCCCTCAATTCCAATGCCCCCCCCGCCCCCCTAATTCCTATGGCTATGCATATGCCTATGCCTCCCCCCTAACTCCTATGCCTACGCCTATGCCTACGCCTATGCCTACGCCTATGCCTCTGCATATGCACCACCTCTGAGCGCTCCTATGCCTATGCCTA